TTAAAAACCTGCGGGAAGTAGAGGGCTGCCCGAATGATGGGTCATCATCACATCCAGGAATAGCAAGGTGCTGGTGCTGCCCTGATTTGAAGCTACTGGCAGGAGACGGGCCACTTTGGTGGGGCGTTGTGAAGGGGAATTCATCATATCTTCAGTTAGCTAAATCTTTTGGGACACCATTTTGTATGGCAAGATAAATAATCATGGTGGTAGGTGCAGACCCCTATGCTTTTACAGTGCTGGGATGGTGTTGTTTTGTGGGTGGGAAGTCTGCTCACATGGTAATAAAACCATGCTGCTGCTCAGTGACTGTATAGTTGATTCTGTGAAGGTCCAAGCAAATCACAAAGCAATGGTGGCACATATAGGGTCTGTGAAAACGTCACAAAATGTGCACATGACCCTGCTCGTATTTGTTGGGTTAATAAAGGACATCCTAAAACATGAACTGGAGATTGGGTTTTGATCCAATTGGATGTTCCCTTTCATCCTTCCTTATGGAGCCAAAAGCTCTATTGTAAAATTTAATTCCCATTCATCACTCACTGTGAAATTTGTATGCGAAAGTATTAGATGAGTGTGTAAAAAGTACTGCTGCCTTCTTAAAAGGATCTGTCTTTTCCATGACACATAATTCATTTACCAACATAAAAGGGAAATGACTCACCTTTCATCCAAACAGAACTCCTAAGCTTAGCCGACAGCACCTGTCTGGGACATGGTTACTTATTAACTAATTGCTAGCCAAAGGTGTCCTGGGAAATAAAGAGTTTGCTTAAGTTTCTTCCAGCCTGGCGTTTGAATGACCCTCTCCTTGCTTGTCAAATAGAATTGTACACCGAGCAATGTATATAATATGATCTTGCACTTAGCCAATGGTCAGTGAGTGCCCAATAATCGATTTCTGGATAAGGTTTTAAAATAGCTGCCAAAAACTACATCTGCTAAGAGCAACTACCCAACTCTAGAGATCAAAATTCTGATTTTGTTGCCTAAAAAGCAAACATAGCACTACAGACATTTTTACTACCTAATAAAAATATAGCCAGATACCTGTAGCTGAAGAAATCACACTGACATGTGGTTTTCGTATCTTTCTCCTTCTTCCCTTCAGTGCCCTTCTTGTGATTGACAGGAGAAATGCCGCAGTAATGCTGTAACAGCTGGCAGAATTCTCCCTTCAGTGCTGCTCTTAGACACAGGATTCCATCTTAGGAGTCTCCAGACCAATGGTGAGGAAACTGTGGCCCTCCAGATGTTGTCGAATCACAACTCCTGTCATCCCTGACATTAGCAGGCTGGGGCTAATGGGAGTTGTCGTCCAACAACATCTGGGGTGCCACAAGTTCTGCATCTCTGGGATAGACGTGCCAAAATTATATCTCCTTGGCTCCTTAGCTTGCAATCCCCGAACCTGTTCCCCAGGCCCCTGTCTCCTCCGCTTACCCTTCCCTCAGGTCCATGAACATCAGTGGACTGATTGCTCTACCCGATTCCTTCAGCTCACCTTTTCTTCTCCCTGACTTCTTTAGCCACTTTCTGGTCAGTCAGCTTTCCAATAATAGCCTATGTGAGATTTAAAGCCCAGTCAAGCAGAGAACTATCCATTTTCATAGACTCCTGACTAGGGATGGAAGGGTCTGTCAATTTTGTTTCTCTCTATTTCTCAATTTTCCCCATCTTAAATTCAGTCCTGCAGCAATTTGCTAGTATTTTAGTGTGCATTCCTCCTTAATAAACACATTTTCATATGCGGTTCTGAATAATGTCCACATATTATATCACCTACCATAATGCATTATTGTATGCTATTTTCACTGATATATGCAATTTTTATGCTCTGACAGTTAAGTCCAGTCGCGAACGACTCTGGGGTTATGGCACTTGTCTCGCTTTATTGGCTGAGGGAGCCGACGTTTGTCCGCAGACAGTTTTTCTGGGTCATGTGGCCAGCATGACTAAGCTGATTCTGGTGAAACCAGAGCAGCGCATAGAAACGCCGTTTACCTTCTCGCCAGAGTGGTACCTATTTATCTACTTGCACTTTGGCGTGCTTTCAAACTGCTAGGTTGGCAGGAGCTGGGACCCGAACAATGGGAGCTCCCCCCCTCATGGGGATTCGAACTGCCAACCTTCTGATCGGCAAGCCCAAGGCTCAATGGTTTACACCACAGTGGCCACCTGCGCCCCATCACTTTCACCTAATGTATGTTTGGGTTTGTTTTGAAAACTTTGGTTGATTGAAAAATTCAAATCGCTTCGAGTTTTGAAGGATGACTCAGTTTAGGTTCTCATATTGTTTCAGAAATGGCAAAATTCAAGATAGGTGTGAATTGAGTTGAATTTCACCTCTATTCCTAATCCTTACTGTGAACTTTTTGATGTGGATGCTTGGACTGTTCATGACTTCACAACGCTCAAGCCAGGCGATGCATTACCTTGAGTTCTACATATTTTTGGATCCCCTTCGATAGGGGTGCATGAGGATCAAACTCTTCACACACCCACAAGATATTGAACTTGACATGAACTTTCCTTCCAACATCTCCAGCCATGAAGAAGATATTGTATTGTATTGTATTGTGTTGTGTTGTGTTGTGTTGTGTTGTATTGCATTGCATTGTATTGTGCTGTGCTGTGTTGTGTTTTGTTGTGTTGCTGGACCTTTCTAAATGGCACTGGAGTTCTGTTTTTTCCACCCCACCCCCTTTAAAAGCAGGTGAATTCAGAACCAAGCTGGAATTATGGTGTGTGTGTGAGAGAGAAATTTCGTTCTGCTGGCTTCACATGAATGCATTGCAAACTTGCAAACAGAATGCCAGGGAAGCGAGTTAACCCAAATGTTTAATCTCCCTAAAGCTGCCCTGAGATATGGTGGAAAGTAAGCTTTGACTTACTAATAGACTCTAAATCTTGCTTTGCTGTATCGTAGAGGTAGCTTTGTTCTGTAGCTTGCTTGCTTCCTGATTGTTCTGTCACCAAAAGGGAGGGAAATAGTTCTGCTGCACTCAGAACCAAGATTAAGGGGTGCCTTTTTAAAATAAAAGCAGCTAAGGGGAGGGGGGCTTTTCAGTTTTAATTGCTGCCAGGGGGATGTTGTACGGTGAAAACTGCCAGAATCGTTTCCTTTCCCTGTTTGTTTTTCTGCCCACACAGTTTTGCAGTTGCACGATAAAACAAAATTCCAAGTCCCAGCAAGAGGGTTCCCCCCTCCTCCTGAATCAGAAAAAACACACCCTGTGCTGAAGAGCGAGTGCATGCTTTGCTGAACTAATAGAAGGAGGGTGGAGGAACAGGAGAACTTTGTGACAAGCAGATAGATCTAGATCCACATTATTATTGTTTTTATTCTTGGTCCTTTTGCTGTTTTCTCTGGATAGGGATGTCTTCCTGTCCCGCTGCTTGAGGTGGAATTTGCACATTTACAGCTTGTGCCCTTGTACGGAGGCCAGCTCCAACTCTAGCAGTTTATGCCGCCTCTCTTATGGCCTGAGGGAATCTCTGTGACTCAGGGGTTAGAGAAGAAGAGCGTGGGGGTTGGAGGCCAGGACTCTTTGACCCTGGAGACCCCTGTTGCCTCGCTGCATGTGTGGGCCATTGGCTTGAATCATTTAGCCTCACTGTGTGTTTCTGGGAGTTTTCAACTGCTGGGTAACCAAGCTTCCCTCCTTGCCAGAAAGCAGTAACTTGAGGTTTATAAGCCTGATTTCACCCGATAAAGGAGGCTATGTGCTTCTCGGTTCTCTCTCTTCTTTACTCAGCTCAATCCAGATGGAGGTGTGTAAATGTACAAGCACATTCAGCTTGCTGTTTGAAATGGGACGGAGGAAGATTAGGTCTATAAATCCAATAAAATAATTGTGCGTGGTACCCTTTCATATTGGCCAGGGATGTGGAACCTGTCACCCAGTTCCCCCGGAGAAGGGTTCTCATGGAAACACTACTGCCACTGATATTTTTCTAGAAAAAGAGGTGTCGGGACTCACCATGAATGCCTCCCTTGTTCTCCCTCGGGTTACAGACGCTTCAGGTTACAGACTCCACTAACCCAGAAATAGTACCTCAGGTTAAGAACTTTGCTTCAGGATGAGAACAGAAATCGTACCGGTGGTGGCGCAGCGGCAGCGGGAGGCCCCATTAGCTAAAGTGGTACCTCAGGTTAAGAACAGTTTCAGGTTAAGAACGGACCTCCAGAACGAATTTAATTCCTTAACCCGAGGTACCACTGTAATGGCAATGGCGCCCACCTGAGAGGATTGCCGGAACTGAGCTCACTGGGTGACGTTGTGTCAGCTGCTCCACCTCAGCCTGACTTACCTCACATGGTTGTTGTGTGGATATAAATGGGGAGAACCATGTCCACCTCCTTGGAGGAGAATGTGGTATACAAATGTCAGAAATAAAACAAACAAATAATTTAGTTGGCTTCAGTTTAGTGCTGCACGAATGTTCATTGCTACTTGTGTCTCCCTAAGCAGTTCCCAGAAAGATTCAGAATCTTATGGGCAGCAGCAAGTGGCTTCCCAAGCTTTCTTAACTTACAGTAGGGACAAGGAACCATTTCCCTTTCCTTGCTGCAGTATATTGTGGGCTCTTTTCATGGGAAGGAAGCAGCAGCTACTGCTATCTCCAAGGCTGGGAAACTGGGGATAACAACTCCAAATGGGAGACAATTGGGGCGAAAAGTTGCCGCAAACAACCTTTCATTTTTGCAGCAGCGGTAGTGATGGTGGTATGCAGACATTTCCACCCTGGATCTTGGCATCTGCTCACATTTTTGCTATGACTGTACTTCGTTCCGAGGCAGAAAACGCTTGACTTGTAAAAAACTGGCTAAAGATTTATTACTGCCATCTCTGAAGCAAGGATTTGAAATCCTGACTTCCACGGCGGCATTCCTGTGTCCCTGTTGGAAGGCTGCTTGGCACCTACGTCTGAGCCTGGGTGGGGCATTTCGGGAAAGAGCTTTGATCTCTCCTGGCAACACACTTTCAAACAAGCGCAGAAGGAGCAACATTACCTGAGAGGGTGAGATAACAGGTAACAGCTTTCTGCGCAGGGCTGTGATAATTCTGCTCTTTATGGGGCTTTGATTGCAGCAGGATACTTAGGAGCCCAAGGAAACTTCAAAAGCTGCGCACACTGCCATTGCACCACCTTGTGCAAAGAACCGTAAGAGGGGCGGGCGTGTGTATAGAGGCATGTTTATTACTCTCATTGAGAAATATTTGCACTAGCTCAATACTAAAGCAGGAAGTAACAGTGGTTGTTTCCAGCTTGCAGAGTTAGAAAACAAAAGAAAAGAACGGCTGTGCCAAGACTGGCTTTAAATTTCTCAGCTTCTGCCATTCTTAGGGAAACATGGAGTAAAACAGGCTTATCACTGAATTTGCCATACGAGAACAGAGATAGATACAGGTTCAGCCTTTCTATGCCCAATTACATATGTAAGGTAAAGATAAAGGGACCCCTGACCATTAGGTCCAGTCGTGACTGACTCTGGGGTTGCGGCGCTCATCTCGCTTTATTGGCTGAGGGAGCCGGCGTACAGCTTCCGGGTCATGTGGCCAGCATGACTAAGCCACTTCTGGTGAACCAGAGCAGCACACGGAAACGCCATTTACTTCCTGCCACAGCAGGTACCTATTTATCTACTTGCACTTTGACGTGCTTTCGAACTGGGTTGGCAGAACCTAGGTTGGCAGAAGCTGGGACCGAGCAACGGGAGCTCACCCCGTCACGGGGATTCGAATTGCTGACCTTCTGGTCGGCAAGTCCTAGGCTCTGTGGTTTAACCCACAGCGCCACCCGTGTCCCAATTAGATATGTACTTAATATGGAATAGGCAGATCCGTATCTTGTTTTTCATTAGCCAATTAAAGGTGCAGGAGAGCCCAGTTCTCACTGTGAAGGCAGTAAATGCTGGTGGGGAGACTGATCTTTTCATCACTCCTGCACCTCGGTTGGCATAGACGCTCCCTGCCGCAGCTGTGGAGCTAGGAGCCATGGAGGGAAAGATCACCACTGGCACTATTTGGAAATGCTTGTGTAAAGTGACATTAAAAAGCTCAATGAATAAAGCAGTGGTGATAATCCCAGGACGTATCACTACCCCTCACAGTTATAGGACAGACGTAATTCACTGTTAATAGTTGGGCAAGTTGCTTTGAGCCGCTTCTTCACTGAGACAATTTCATCCTGTCATAACCAGGGGGAGTCCTTCCTCAGGATGAAACATTTTTTGGTGAGGTGGTCAGGAATAATGTCTGCACCACTGCCATTTTCCACAGTAGCTAGGAATTCCATTTTTTAAAACAATAAGCAAAATAAAATCAAAATTGCTAAAGTGGCTTTTGAGTCCAACTCCATTTTAAACGATAATTTCTAGACCACGGGCACTGAGGAAGGATCCATTTTCCTCAGAGTGAGGCAGAGAGGTGGGTGGGGAGTAGAGAGAGCAAAACTCTCTACCAGTAAGTGACAAGGAAAGTGAAAGGGAGATAGCCCCTTGTCTTGGACCACCTAAGTCAGATCACCAACCAAATGGCAAAAGCAGTGCCGATTTAAAACTAGGACCCAAATAATTTTTCATTATCTTAAATCCTACCACTGAGGCGTGCAACAAGAAACCAGGTATACTTATAGGCAGACACAACTGGGTCCAAGAGTTAAAGTTTCTGGCCTCTGGCTTCACGCTGGTCAAACATTGCCCAGATGCTGGAAGGTATGTCTTGTTAGCCCCTAAAAGCATAACAGAGCCCGCTTGTTTCGCCTGCGAGGGAGTGTGCGCGACGGTTATTTTGTCCAAGCTAATTTCCTTTTTCACCACCACCCATTCCTAATTCAGCTTTCCCTCCAGAATTAGTTCTACTGAGCACAGTGGCAAAGCAGAACCTCTTCCCTCTGGCCTTCTGTTTATCATCTTCTGTCAAGCGCATGCTGTTTCCAGGCAACGGAAAGGAAGTGCCAACTAGGGCCACGTGGTTGTGGCCAGTCATTTCGTGTAGCATCCTGGGGCAAAGTCTCATTTATTTCTAATCTAATGTTTCTAGGGGGAACGACACAGTCAGCGTGTCCCGTACTCCGTGCCAGTTTAGACAAAACTGCCTCTCTTGGTTTCTACTTTCCTTGGAACTAGTTCTCATAAGGATTGTGTTTACAGTTTCTGGCTGAATATTTATTAAGTTTCGTAATTTTTTATTTATTTTCTTTTTTAAAAAATAATAATACACAGCTTAGTCCGAGATAAACTTTGTTCTTTTCATTTCGTTCTACTGATAAAACGTGCCACTCCAAAACTGCGTAACACATTTGGAATATACCGTATTTTTTCGCTCTATAACCACGCACCAGACCATAACCACGCACATAAGTTTTTAGAGGAGGAAAACAAGAAAAAAAATATTCTAAATGAAACAGTGGATGTATGATTTTGTGGTTCATGCTGTGGCCACAGACATGTGATCTGACAGTGAGTTTGGAGTAGCCCAATGCAAAAATCCTGAGGATCCATGTGGATCCATGCTTTGTAACCACGTTTTTGCACCACTGCGACCCTAGGCAACAGTGGGTGCCGTGATTTTTTTTGGTGCAGGTTGTAAGCCATGGACATGCTATGTTATCTGATGGTGAATTTGGGGTGACCCAATGCAAAGATCCTGTGGATCCATGCTTATAAAAGTCCCTATTAAGGATAAAACAGACAGGATATACGAAGTATGATTTCTTTTTATTTACTGGTATTTCTTTTTTTGGCCACCTCTGTCACTGCAAACCTTTGCTCTGTGCTTGCACACTTTTGGGCAATAGGGCATGTAACACACTTTTTTTCATCTGCCAAGATGTAGAAAATCAAATTTTAATGTCCCTATATAAAATGCCTAGTGAAGCAGAAAGGGTATTACATCAGCCACTGTATTAAGGCTAAACGTTTGAAGAACAGCTCTCTATGGGGGGGGACTAAATTCCATTTTCAATCAATTGTTATTGTGGCAGCAATTATCAGTGTATAGCGCACAATGAGGAAATGAACTTTAAAAAAAATATATAAAAAACATTCTCACGTTATACTTCTTCAAAAGAAGAGTATTAGGCTTTTAATGAAGGGGAGAGGGAGAGATGCTGTAATCCTCCTGGCTCAGAGATTCTGATTACCTGCCGCGTTAGAAAAGTAATAGATTAAGATATTTGATATACAGCAATATAAATCCAGAGATTTCCATGTCTCACTCTGCAATCCAGCCTGCTGTTACTTACGAGCAGGGAAGCAGGGTTTCTCTTCCAAACAAGCATACTGGTCTCCCTCCAGCAGTACATTGCTTGGAGAAGCTGTAATTTGGAGGGGGGCCTGGGGGGCAGGGCTCTCTGCTTTTGGAAAAGAAATGAGAAACCCTACCATTGTAAAGCAAAAGTCCCCTCCCCCACCCCAAGCCAGCCCTCCCTCTCTCTCTCTCTCTCTCTCTCTCTCTCTCTCTCTCTCCCACTTGCGTGTTTTTCGGCTGCCTGCGAGTCCCTAGAGCACGGAGAGGAGGAGGTGGTGGGCTGGAGCCTGCACGGAAGGACTCGATCATTTCCTTAACCCTCTGCTTGCCAGGAGGGCAGGGAATTCCTGCTCTTTGTTGAGTTTGAGCAAACGCAGCAACAGAAGCGGGTGGGCAGTAAGACCCTGAGGCAGAATGCAGGAAAGCAACAGCTTCTGCCTTCCCTCTTCCCTCCGCCCGCCCGCCCAATCTTATTTTTGCCTGATTTTTGCCTATTTTGCCCCTTCGCTCCGGAGAGTCAGATCCAGGGACCACACATTCGCTCAATAACACGCACAGACATTTCACCTTACTTTTTAGGAGAAAAAATCTGCGTGTTATAGAGCGAAATTTACGGTAGTTTGATACAGATTTAGCCCAACATTTTTCAAGTAGCCTTTTGTTTGGATATGGTGTTTTAAATGGGGGGGGAGAGGATAGATTCTCGCCCCCAACCCCGCCCACTTCCTCCAGTCTGGCATTTCTCAAGCCACATTTATGGACTCATTCTCACAATCCTGCTACTCTGTGTATCTCCCCCCCCGCCCCACCCAATGAATGAAATAGAGCTTCAGTGCTGCAGCACTAAAGTGCTTTTAATAATGCTGTTTTTGAGGATGTAAGAAAATGAAAAGAATGGAAATGGAAGAATAGTTGTTAAGCACATTAGGATGTAATCAGTTAGCATTAAAATTAATTCTGCGTGATTCATGAATCTGTAAGAGGACAGGGGAGATATAAGGTCACAACTACACCGGTGATTTTTCGGAGGTAAAATGGAGAATTCAGGAGCCTTGACCTGCTTCTTCATTAGGATGTTGTCAATAAGCATCTGTATCTGGGTTTAACAACTAAGTATTTTTTTTAAGAAACTGCCTGCTTTTTAATTTGCTCTTATATTTCCTTCCCTCATGAGCAGTGTTAGAAACTCAGACATACAGTGGTACCTCGCAAGACGAATGCCTCGCAAGACAAAAAACTCGCTAGACGAAAGGGTTTTTTTGTTTTTTTGAGCTGCTTCGCAAGACGATTTTCCCTATGGGCTTGCTTCGCAAGACGGAAACGTCTTGCAAGTTTGTTTCCTTTTTCTTAACACCGTTAATACAGTTGCGACTTGACTTCAAGGAGCAACTCATAGAACGCAGTGTGGTAGCCTTTTTTGAGGTTTTTAAAGACTTTGGTGATTTTGAAGCTTTTCCAAAACTTTCCCGACACCGTGCTTCGCAAGACGGAAAAAATGGCAAGGCGACAAAACTCGCGGAGCGAATTAATTTCGTCTTGCGAGGCACCACTGTATAAGCTAGGTGCCAAATGGCTTCTTAAACCAGGGTTACAGTTGCCATAACAGAATGCCTTGTTGCCATTTGCGGGGCCAGGCAGATCGAAAGTTGTATTTTCCAATATGACTTTTTGGTTCCTGAAATTCATTCTGATTGTGCAGAGAAAATAAAATGGATAGAATTCTACAGGATGTGTTGCTTGTGTATGAAAACAGGCCAGATTCAAGGATCCTCAGGCATGCTCCTCCAGATGGTGGAGACATCAGGTGCCATCCTGGTACCCAGGCATCTTCACTTGGTCACAAGTGGCTGATAGCCAGGTGCAAAATGCGCCTGGTGCCTGGCAAATTTCGAACACTGCTCATGAATCCAATTCGGTCAAGGGATCACTCCCTCTTGTGAAAATTCTGCCTTTTGTGAGTTAGGCTTGCTCAGAATGAAACTTCTACTGCTTACAAGCTTGTCTGCCATTATCATACATGATAAGTATTCTGGCATAACAGATGCTCCTATATAATATGTGCTGCTCTGTTTCTCCTAATTAATTAGTCCCAGCTCACTGTGAAATCTAGTTAAAATGTGCTCTATGGATACACTTGCATCTGCCCATTTTCATAAGGGTGTTTCAGTCTCCCTCTACACATTGGCCATGATTTGGATGCTACTTGTGCTTTAGATCCTGGTTTATATTCCTAGTTCCTTAAACCATATTCAGCTTGAGTTTCCCAGTTCAGACCTAACCTAATACAAGCCAGGATCTCAGCACTCAAGCCAGCATGCAATGGCAAGGAGAAGGCCAAGGGTAAAGCTTGTAGCTGTGGTGCTAATCTATGGCATTGTAATACCTGGGTCGAAACCTATGAACCCAACCACTATAGTGACATTACCCATCTGTTTGAATTCAGATTCCTGTAAATGGAAGAAGAAGAAGAAGAGTTTGGATTTGATATCCCACCTTTCACTCCCCTTGAGTCTCAAAGCGGCTAACATTCTCCTTTCCCTTCCTCCCCCACAACAAACACTCTGTGAGGTGAGTGGGGCTGAGAGACTTCAGAGAAGTGTGACTGGCCCAAGGTCACCCAGCAGCTGCATGTGGAGGAGCGGAGACGCGAACCCGGTTCACCAGATTACGAGACTACTGCTCTTAACCACTACACCATACTGGCTCTCAGGAAAGTGGTGATTTAAAGGGTGAAAGAAAGTGATGGGAGATTTTCTATTTCCATGTCCCCTCACTTTGAAGTTGCATCTTCCCTTCCAGAATTGGAGCCAGACCAGGGCTGGTGGCTCCAAGGAGGAAAATCACAACTGGGGAAAGGGTTATGCAAGCTCCTCTGCCTGCTCTTTAAAGCACACAGTTTATAGGAATTAAGAAGCATCTTGCTTCTAACACACCAATTTTGCCACTATCACGTCTAGTTCACTGCATAGTCTAGGTCACAGGTGGGCTCTCTGCAACCCTAGAGCTACATGGGACCTTCTGCCTAATTTTATCTGGTCCTCAGCCTAATTTCAAAAGCCCTCTGCAAGTGATCAGGCCTTTTGGTAAGGAAGAAGTAGAAGACAGATGGATAACTAGATACATAGAAACATGCAGAGATACATAGATTGATACATAGCTAGATACATAGATATGTTTATTGTTGTTTAGTTGTTTAGTCGTGTCCGACTCTTCATGACCCCATGGACCAGAGCACGCCAGGCACCTCTGTCCTCCACTGCCTCCCGCAGTTTGGTCAAACTCATGCTGGTAGCTTTGAGAACACTGTCCAACCATCTCATCCTCTGACGTCCCCTTCTCCTTGTGCCCTCAATCTTTCCCAACATCAGGGTCTTTTCCAGGGAGTCTTCTCTTCTCATGAGGTGGCCAAACTATTGGAGCCTCAGCTTCAGGATCTGTCCTTCCAGCGAGCACTCAGGGCTGATTTCCATCAGAATGGATAGGTTTGATCTTCTTGCAGTCCATGGGACTCTCAAGAATCTCCTCCAGCACCATAATTCAAAAGCATCAATTCTTCGGCGATCAGCCTTCTTTATGGTCCAGCTCTCACTTCCATACATCACTAATACATAGTTATATGGATACATAAATCAACACATAGATGGATACATAGATACAGATACATAGATGGATACATCGTAACACAGACAGGTAGGTGCATCGATGGATACAATTTTGGAATACTGTATAGTGGTACCTCGGTTTACGAACTTAATCTGTTCCTGAAGTCCGTTCTTAAACCAAATCCGTTCTTAAACCGAGGTATACTTTCCCTAATGAGGCTTCCCGCTGCCGGTGCCCTTCCACCATTCGGCTTCCGTTCGTAGACCGAGGTAAAGTTCACAAACTGGAACACTACTTCTGGTTTTGCAGAGTTTGTAAACTGAATAGTTTGTAAACCGGGCTGTTCGTAAACTGAGGTACCGCTGTACTAAGGTAGCAGAAGGAGGGAGGAAAACAGGGATGAAAGAAAGAGAAAGGGCTCTGACCTGCCAGTCACTGACTTTGGCCCTGCTCATAGCCAGAATGCTTCCTCTGACAGATTTTCTCCAACAGATCCCCCTGGATAGAATATACAGCTGTCCATCCCCGATTTCTACGACCATATGTTTGGTGGCTGTTCAATATCAAGCTGAGGTCAGAGTTAGCCCTCCAGAGTCTTGCTATTGAAGTGGATTGTTCTGCTAAAGCAAGAGCCATGCATGTCAAAATGAAACACATATATAATTTATTTCATCTGTCAAATGTTAAGTGCCTTTGTCAATGGGAGAAAGAATGTGTAGTTCCGTTGTTTTTTTTAATAGCACAATGGTTTCCATAGCAAACTGACCATTGCTTCTTATTTCTTTTCCTGTAGGATCACATGTCAAAAGAAGAAGGTAATCAGTGCACAGAGGACGCTGACAGAAATGCCAAGATGCAGAAGACCCAACTGTTTGTGCAGAAAGGACCTCACCTGATGGAGGAAACCTCTTTGGAAATGTCAGGAACGCTTATGCTTATGACTTGTAGTCCACCAGCTGCTAAGATCTGAAGCAGATGTCTGGTGAAGAGAGGAGCTCTCATCTCATGATCAGCTGAAGTGGAGTATGGGATCTTCAGCTAGCAGAATGCTAGGCAAAGCTACCTCACCAGTATCTGTACATAATGAAGCAAGTTAACTTTGGTTTGTTTCCCCTGGTTTTACAGTTTCCAGATGTTCCCTCCTTTTCCGCTGTGCCTGTATAGTCACCTCCACCAGAGACCTGAAAACCACTTGGGGAAAGGGAACAGCCATTTGGTCCAAACAGGAGTATATGCCACACACACACCCTATGTTGTTGAAAGATTCAAATATGGCAATGGAAATAGCTGTGAATTTTCCCAATGGCCTCTGCATCTCTTATGCCTCCTCTTTCATTGCCGATTTAATGATTCAGTGGAAGTTCAGGATGCCCAGATGATCAACAGGAAGATTGGAACAAGAAGATTGTTTTGTTGTTGTTGTCCTGATGTATCAATAAAATCATAATTTTTTTTAAAAAAAGAAAATTGGACTATATATACCCAGTGTTGGGGGCCCACAGAATTTAAATCTGTTCCCGTGGAATTAATAGTCAGTTTTACAAATTTTACTGTGAGTTGTCCCAGGAAATACAAATTGTCATTCTTCTGTCAAAAGGAAATTATAATGTCACATATACTTATACCGAAGAGTCCATCTGACATACAAAAGACAGCCTCATGTAAGCATGGATAAGCATGGGAAGTTTTTTATGCTTCGTGTTTTAAATATTTTGTTGGGAGCTGCCCAGAGTGGCTGGGGCATACTAGTTGGATGGGCATCATATAAATAAAACTATTATTATTATTATTATTATTATTATTATTATTATTATTATTATTTTACTGGAATAAGGTGAGAATGCATTAGAACTGTACCTTTTCTAAGTGAGGTTGTAAGAGAGAGGAAAGTAAATTTCAGCTTGTAAAGAAGCTGAGCTGAAAGCAGCCTTCTGCAACCCCCATCAGCCTCAGACATTATGGACAGCTGCCAGGCATGAGGGCAGAGGCATTTTTAGGGTAGTTGCACTGGACAGGGGGCACCACAGGGGGCACTTCAACAGTGGTGTTGAATGGAGCACAAAAAGGCTCCATTTGGGAGACCAAAATCTGCCATTGATGAAGGGAGTCTATTTGGGTTTTTTTATTCAAAGTGTTGATCCTGACCTTTAAAGCCCTAAATGACCTCGGCCCAGTATACCTGAAGGAGTGTCTCCACCCCCATTGTTCTGCCCGGATGCTGAGGTCCAGTGCCGAGGGCCTTCTGGCAGTTCCCTCACTGCGAGAAGCTAAGCTACAGGGAACCAGGCAGAGGGCCTTCTCAGTAGTGGCACCTGCCCTGTGGAACGCCCTCCCATGAGATGTCAAAGAAATATACAACTATCAGACTTTTAGAAGACATCTGAAGGCAGCCCTGTTTGGGGAAGCTTTTAATATTTGATGAATCATTGTATTTTAATCTTTTGTTGGAAGCTGCCCAGAGTGGCTGGGGAAACCCAGCCAGATGGGCGGGGTATAAATAATAAATTATTATTATTCATTTAACAAAATGCATTTTGTAGGAAAAACTCTGAGCGGTTTAAATAAAAGATTTAAATTATCAATGTAAAAGCAGGTATTTTAAAATCAACAATAACTAAACAAAGAACTGAAACACCAACCAGCTCAGTTGGTGAGAGCCTGATTGCATCAAGGCTGCAAGAATTTAAAACAACTGGTCAGCAACAACAAAAATACTACAAAGTAAATAAGAGAAAGAGGGGGAGTGATTTCAAAATAAAAATACCATAAAAAGCAAAATACAGACTCGTACCAATGTTAGTCATACCCATAATGACTAGGTCCATTAATATCAGAGGGTCTGCTCTGAATAGTCATTGGATACAGCCCAATGTGTGTCAGGGCAGAGCCCAAAATATCTGTTTAAATTGGTAACTGAGTTATAAAAGGGCGTGAATGCAAAATAATCTCTTGGCTTTATACAGGTTTTCTGACAGATCTCTTGGCTTCTCTCCTGGGTACATGGAAGAGTTTCCTTTGTGGTGGAATTATATGTTTCCCCATCGAGTGAGTTGACCTGAGCGTTTCATGATTACCAAGAGTTCTGTTGTGGCTTGCTGGGGATACTGTTAAGGGATCATACAGCTGTTTAGAATGATTATGGGAAGCAAAAGTATGTGTTTTATCGTGCATTTGCCAGTGGCGTATTCAAGGGCAAGGTGGGCAACAAGCTATTAGAAATGCTGTGCTATTTCTCCTATGACGCCCTTCTGTGGAAAGGATCTGAAGTTCCTGGTTGGTGAGCATACACTTTCAAATGCAGAAGGTCCAGTGATGAAAATGTTCCCTTGCAAAATGTGTGTTTTCTGTACTACCGAACAGCAAAATACACCAAATCCACACATCTCAAAAGGATGTGGGGTAGTTAATGTGCTCAAAATTGAGTCACTTCTTTATTCATGATACATTCCTTTAAAAAAGCCAAACCAGAGCTCCATGCAGATGGTTGCTTTTCAAAAAACTTGCAGAGCCCTCTCAGTTCGCAGTCCACATGCTTACTTTTCATGGCTCCAGCCGTGATATCTGGTTGTCATGAACTGGCAGGATGACGGAGAAGGCAGAAGAGGATCCCGACGAGGGGTGTAGCTGGGACTGGGACACACTGGCCAAGCGAGGGATGGGGAAGGAAGTACTCACAGGATGGCGGAGGGTGGTGAGGGATGGGCATCAGTGCACAGGAACCAGAGCAGGAGGACCAATCACTAGAGCCACAAATATGGCAGGCTCTGAGGCGTAAGGAGCTGTGGGAGTGATGCTCTAGGAGGCTGAGACAGGCAAGGGCCCACAGCCCAGCTCCCTAGCGGGCCAGGTGGGGCTCGCTAGCTTTGGGAAGAGGTATGTGATTCCTCAGCTGGAGTCGACTCAGAACAGGTGAGGGTCACCTGCCTCATCGGGCCAGAGGCTGCAATCAGGCCAAGTATAAAAGGGAAGCAGAGCTGAGGGACTGTGTCTGCTCAACTGCCCAGGTTGGTATGGATGTTCCTGGACCTCTACAGGACTGTCCTCTGGGTTTAACTCTGGACTGTATCCTGACTGCTGGACTTCAGACTTGGCTACTTGGATTGACCTTGGACTGCCTGTGGCCAGGGGTTTAGGACACTGCTCAAAGCAGTTTTAACATACCTCATATAGAGCTTTGAGCCCAACTGTGAAAATGCCAGTCCCAGAAGTATGATCAGCACTTCAGCACATACATGCCACGTTTTGCCTAAATTGTTGCTGGTTACTGCTAGATAGTACGCATGGTGATCAATTTATTTCAATATTCAATTTTTGGTTTTGACTATTGCTTACCAAGGTTTAACATGGGAATTAAATTTCAGATTAGTGACATATTCTCAGCAGATTCCCAGCAATATTTGTTAGCATTGTTGTTGCATTCCTTGAAAGAGACTCTTGATAGTCAAGTCTGCTCTTCCCTCTAGGCTGTGAATTTTCCTTAGACTTTCCTCCATCCTGACACATCATCTTAGCTGGACAAAGTCTTTCCTGACCTTTTAATGTATTTTCCTGCTGTGATAGTCCTCTTATGGGTTGTAATCCCCATGTGAATTCCACTATGATCCACTCTAGGCAGGTGGAATAAAAAGTGGAATAAAAGTGGAATAAAAACACTATATTGGAAGTAAACACAGAACAACCTCCACTCACTGTATGCACTACATCTGACTGAAGGTACATGATGCAACCAAGGAGTTCTGGCTTCAAACAGTACTTGGGGATAGAAACTGCCTGTGTGTGATGCCTTGAGTTCTAACATGGAAGAAAGGCGATTAGAAATGTAATAGTTCTGACCAGATGGAGATAATGATTTGTGGTTGCCATTCTGCTCTGCTATCGATGATCGGTACATACAGCAGGGTTACCAGTTCTGCATTACATTATCATGATGTTTTAAGTGATTTGTCCTTTTATGAAGTATTGTGCAATTCATTCTGAGAGTTCCTTCCAGGTCAGTATCCGACATCATGTGACACCATTGAACGATGGTTCTTTCAATTGGAAGAGTGTAGATTTCAGAGTTGTTTGAGGCATGCAGTATTCTTTTTGATGGACACTTGATCCTTGGTGCACAAAACTCAAGTTTCTGGTACTGCCTGCCACGTTTGCATCACTGCGGTTACCTTTGAACTAACATGACCTCAAGCAGGGCTAATAACCAGCGCTACGTGCATCTTTGCTTTGAGACGAGAGATCACCAATTGTTACAGCGACTCTGGAAGTCTGAGATCCTTTTTCAAAGCCCTTCCTTGCTGTGAGCATGCTGGCATGCACACACAAGCTGTACCTGTGTAGACTTGCCCAATATAGCTGGTGTTTTTATTCAGCATCATACCCAACTGAAATGGAGGAAGATTCCTTCAGGGACAGCACTGTATGGTTTGATCTCTTTCCTTTTTTTTTTTTAATAATTTTTATTGGGTTTTCACATTTTATATAGACAAAAACAAAACACATAACACCAAAACAAAGATAAAAAAAACAACAGCAAACATGAATAGTTCCAGAAAATCTTATTTTCTAACCCTAGTCCTTGACTTCCCCCCACCCCCTCCCTTGCATCCCTGTTCCCAAGTTTATGTCAGCAAGTTAGCATTTCTTCCTTCTTAATATTAGTCCTTTTATAAAAACAAAAAATAAGTTTTCCCTAAGTTGGACCCCAATTCTCTTCCCTCGATTTCTCATTTTTTCTTGAGTAATTTCCTTATTACTAAACCCCTGGTCTTGAGTGTTATTTAAGTTTATGCTTCCCTCCCTCCCATCCCCGCTTTGCGTCCTTTCCCAAGACATGTCCAAAGTAGCAGTTTTTAGCCTGGATTCCGCACATCCGAGGCTCTCAAATCTATTTCAGTCCCTCTCCGCCGGTTTTGTTGGTAGTCCTCTTTGTCAGTCATCGAGTCTCGAAAGATTTCATTAACATTCAATCCAATCAGTCCATAGTCTCTTCCCATATTTGGAAGCAACTGCTGAGGAATTTCCACAAGGCCTGAGTCTTGGTGATGGTCAAAATCAAAGTCTATGTGGAGGCCCCAATTGTACTTCTTTATTTCGAGTTCCTGAGTTCCATAAACTCCCAGGGCCTCCACTTTCATCTTCTGTGTCTTTCGTAGGCTTGGAATAGATTCCATCCAATGGTCTCCTTGCTTGTGTTCTCCAGATATCGGCTTCTGGTTAGTATTTTCCCACATAACTTGTTCTCTTTCTTGTTTTGTCTTCTCCTCTTCTTTGTTTATTATTTCAAATTCAGCTGTGGGTTCTTTCTCATTCAAGTCCTCATTACATTCAGCAGAGCTACTTGTTTCCAAATCCAAGGCCGTCAATTGTTTACTCATAGCTGTAGTCTGCTCCTGTAAGGTTCCCACCAGTGAGAACATCCTTTCGATTTCTCTCAGTATCTTTCCACCCACAGCCATTG